TCTCTCTCTCTCTCTCTCTCTCTCTCTCTCTCTCTCTCTCTCTCTCTCTCTCTCTTTCCTATATATAGAGAAGGAGGAACCATAAAAAATTTTAACCCTAATTTACAGATGAGGAACTGCAGCATACAGAAAGCTTAGCTAACTTTCCAAATGTCACACAGCTAGTGAAGTGGGAAATCGTGGTTTGAAACACAGCATATATATATTTTCATTCATTCATTCTTGGGTTTCTCATTCCTGAGTCTGGGTGTTGCTTGTGATCATCACTGCCCTCTTCCCATCCAGTGTCCACTAAGCCTTCTTTCTATGTTGTCAGATCGCTAATACTGTATCATTCCTACTTTCCCCTCACAATGCATCTTCTTAGTTTTCCTGTTAACCTTTACTTCCCTTAGTCTCTTGTTTTTTTTGTTGTGTTTATTTTTTGTTGCAGAAAACAATGTTTTTAATTTAATTACGTTTTAAAAAAATTCTATTGGTTCTTCTGATAGTATTCTGGCCAAATACTTATTCTATATATGTTTGTAGATGGTATAAATTTATTGAACATTGAGCACAATGTTAATTTTATATGGATCTCGAGATATAGAGATACCCAGTAAAATATCAGAGCGTATATGTGTTTAAACATTTAGAATTATAACCTAGTAGTTTTTTTAAACTGAAATGTCTTTTGTTTATTCACTTGTTTGCCTAGGAGCCCATGAAATCCAGAGCACCACAGCTGCATTTGGAATACAGATTCTATAAGCAGTTAGGATCTGGAGGTAGGTATATGAATTTTAAAATCTGTAATAACACAGATCATAATCATAATAACTCTTTAGTTTCAAGAAATAATATTTTAAAAATTTGATTACAGAATAATTTTTTTCCTTCCTTCCTTCCTTCCTTCCTTCCTTCCTTCCTTCCTTCCTTCCTTTCTTTCTTTCTTTCTTTCTTTTTTTTAATTCGGGATGAAGAGAAGCTCCAGAGTACTTCCTGCTCTTTTAGAAGGTGGGGCTTCCTGGCACATATGTCAGGAGGCAAGTGTCCACCTGCAACTGCAGCTCCAGATGGTTGCACGTGTGGAGATAGGGTGTGACTTGTTGCAATTGGTTCTCTCTCTCCAGCTTGTGTGTTGGGATCTAAACTCAGGTTGTCAGGCTTGGTGGCAAATGCCTTTACTGCTGAACTACCTCCTCGGGCCAGGAAGAGTCATTTTTATAACTGTGCCTAAGGATTCTTTTTTACTTAACAATCCTTTAAAAAAAAAAGAGAGAGAATGTAATGGTTACATGAGTAGAGAACATTGTGACAAGATTAATTTAGTTGTGCAAATAGTATCCATAGTGTTAGCCTTTCTAGCAGTATTTACTGCCCTTATGATGGGTATAAAATGATTCTATAAATATATCCACATGGTAATTTGTGGAACCCAAATTCACATATGGCAGACATATGAGTTGGCAGGATTATCCTGGATGTTATCTGGGTAAGCCCTAAATGCAAAATGCAAGTGTCCTTACAAGAAAGGCAGAGACATTTGACATACACAAAAAAGGTTGTGTTCATGGGGCACAGTTGGACTGATGTAAATGAACCAAGGAATGCCTGCAGCTCTAAGATCCTGAAGGAGGTTCCCGGCTTCTCAGTAGAGCCTGTAAAGCAAGTATGAAACTGATTTGGGACACTGGCCTCTAAGGTGTAATACAATCAGTTTAAGCCATCAGATTTGTAGTAACTTCTTAAGAGCTGGTAATACAAGTAAAATATTAATATTTGTATATGAAGTTCTTAAATCTCAGCAGAGAAAGAGATTTTTGCCATCGGCAACTGTTTACGGTAAAACTTTCTACTTGTGTGTTACATCGTCTTTACATTGAAGGTTTTGAGAGTGCTACTTTTGTGTATTCCTTTTCTTCTAATTGTACTGATTTTAGTTTCTCTGTAGTAGGGTATATTGTTTCTCAGATTTAATAAGATAGAATTTCTTGTTGTGTACTTTTATAAGTATATTTACATTCTAGTTGGTAGAGCTGTTCATTTCTTCAAATAATGCAGTTTACATTTTTTCCACTAAGAACACACACAAATGAATGTTCCTTGCAATGTTAGTAAACTTGAAAATTTGTATTAAGGAGTATATAATAGATTTTTATATATTGTCCTCTCCTGTTTTTTTCTGAGTAGTTTTGCTTTTAAGTCTATTTTGTTAGATATTAAGGAAGCTGCACCTGTTTGCTTCTTTGATCCATTTGCTTAGAATACTTTTTCCGATCCTTTTACTCTGAGATAATGTCCATCCTTGATGTTAAGATGTGTTTCTTGGAGGCAGCTGAAGTTAGTCTGTATGTTTTCCTTGGAGGTTTGAGAGTTGATGATTAATTTGTAGTATTTATTAATTCTTGTTGTGTGATAGTGTGGGCTTTTCTACTTCTCTTGATTAACTGTTCTGTAATCATTTGTTCTTGTGTCCTCTTGGGTGTAGTTAATCTTTTCACACTGAAGTGCCTTCTGTAGAGGATTGGCAGGCAGAACTGCTTAAATTTGTTTTAATTGTAAAATGTTTTCCTTTTCTCGTTGATTCTGATTGATAGTTTTGCTGAGTATAGTAGTCTGGGCTGGTGTTTGTGGTCTTTCAGAGCTTATAGAACATCAGTTCAGGCTGATCTGGCTACATTGAAAAGCCAGTTGTCATTTTCATGAGCCGGCCTGTGACTTGGTCTCTTTCTTTTTAAATTTTTAATATGCTTTATTTACTCTGTACGCTTATTGTTTAGATTATTAAGTATTGTGGGTAGTTTTGTTTCTGGTCAGGTTTATTTGCTATTCTGTATACTTCTTGTACTCTTGATAGGTATCCCTTTCTTTAGGTGGGGAATTTTCTTCTATAATTTTATTAATATGTTTTCTGGGGCTTTGACTTGGTCTTGTTCCCTCAGCCTCTATACTTACTATTTATAGGTTTTGTCTTTTCATAGTGTCACAGATTTTCTGGCTGTTTAGTGCCTGAGTCTCTCTCTCTCTTTTTTTTTTTTAGATTTAACATTTTCTTATTTTCTTTGACTGAGCTATCCACTTTTTCTACTTGTCTTCAGGAACTGTAATTCTCTCTTCTATCTCTCTTAATCTCTTGATGAGGCTTATTTCTGTTTCTTTTCTTTCTTTCTTCTTTTTGTTGTTGTTGTTTTTTTGTTATTTGGCTTTATTTATTTATTTATTTATTTATACTTTCTAAGTTTTTCATTTACCAATTTTATTTCAGATTGGGTTTTCTTTAGTGAGTCTCTCTGTCAAATTCTACTGCTATGTCTTGAATTGTCATTATTCCATTCAATTCTTTGTGTTTTCATGGTCTTCATTAAGGCATTTATTCATATCCTATTTAATGTTATTGGGCACATTCTTTCTCTTTTTACTGGCCATTTTCTAGTTGTTTTAAGCTTACCATTACTGTTACTTAAATAAGGTTATTATTTTTACATCTGTATCGTTCTTTTATTGATTGTTTTATTTATTTACATTTCTTGTGTTATCCCCCTTCCCAGTCTCCCCTCCACAAACCCCCATTCCATCCTTCCTCCCCTCTGCCTCTATGAGGGTGCTCCCCTACCCACTCAGTCACTCCCACCTTCCTGCCCTTGCATTCCTCTACACTGGGACACCGAGCCTCCACAGGACCTCTCCTCCCACTGATGGCAGATAAGGCAGGCAGTCCTCTGCTACATATGCAGCAGGAGCCATAGATCCCTCCATGTGTACTCTTTGGATGGTTTAGTCCCTGGGAGCTCTGAGGGGTCTGGTAAATTTATATTGTTCTTCCTATGGGGTTGCAATCCCCTTCAGTCCCTTCAGTCCTTCCCCTAGTTCTTCCATTGGGGTCCCCAGGCTTAGTTCAATGGTTGGCTCTGAGTACTTGTATTAGTCAGGTGCTGACAGAGCCTCTCAGGGGACAGTTATACCAGGCTCCTATCAGCAAGTGCTTCTTGTCATCAGCAATAGTATCTAGGTTTGATGTCTGTAGGTGGGATGGATTCCTAGGTGGGCGGTCTTTGGATGATCTTTTCTTCAGTCTCTGCTCCATTTTTCTGTTCCCGAGTTTCCTTTAGACAAGAACAGTTCTGGATTAAAAATTTCGAGATGGGTGGATGGCTCCATCCCTCAACTGGGAGCCATGCCTATCAACTGGAGGTGGTCTCTACAGGTTCTGTCTCCCTTTCATTGGATATTTCAGCTAATGTCATCCCTGTTGGGTTCTGGGAATATCTTAGTACCCTGGCATCTGAGACTTTATAGTGGCTCCCCCTAGTTCCTCATCATTTTCCTGACCCTTTGTACTTCTCTCCTGTCTATTTTCATACCTGATCCTGTACTCCCCCTTTCTCCCCTCCTCTCTCAATTCCAGATCCCTCCCTACTTTAGTTCCCCTTTTTAAGTAGGACTGAAGCATCCACACTTTGGTCTTCCTTTTTGTTAAAGGTCTGATTTGTATTGCGGGTATTCTGAGCTTTCTGGCTAATATCAACGTATTAGTGAGTACATACATACCATGTATGTCCTTTTGTGTCTGGGTTACTTCACTGAGGATGATATTTTCTAGTTCTGTCCATTTGCCTGCAGATTTCATGATTGGGAAAAGATCTTTACTAACCCTATATCTGATAGAGGGCTAATATCCAAAATATACAAAGAACTCAAAAGTTAGACTCCAGACCACCAAATAACCCTATTAAAAATGGGGTACAGAACTAAACAAAGAATTCTTAACTGAGGAATCTTGAATTGGCCCAGAAGCACCTAAAGAAATGTTCAACATCCTTAGTCATCAGGGAAATGTAAATCAAAACAACCCAGAGATTCCACTTCACACCAGTCAGAATGGCTAAGATCAAAAACTCAGGCAACAGCAGATGCTGGCGAGGATGTGGAGAAAGAAGAACATTCCTCCATTGTTGGTAGCATTGCAAGCTGGTACAACTACTCTGGAAATCAGTCTGGTGGTTCCTCAGAAAAGTGGAAGTAGTTCTACCTCAAGACCCAGCTATACTACTGCTGGGCATATATCTAAAAGGTGCTCCAACATGCAACAAGGACACATGCTCCACTATATTCATAGCAGCCTTATTTATAATAGCCAGAAGCTGTAAACAACCCAGATGTCCCCAGTGGAAGAATGGATACAGAGATATGTGATACATCTGCACAATGGAGTACTACTAAGCGATTAAAACAGTGACTTCATGATATTTACATCTGTATTCTTGTACATGGAATGCTCACTTTCCCAGTGAAAGCCTAGTGACACTCCAGTTTAATGTACCTGCTTTGCAGTGCATTTCCTGCCACCAGTTGGCTCCTCTCTAAAGAAAGGCTTCTATATTCTATCACATTATTAATCTATAACTTTCAATATTTCCAATATTCATATGGGAAACAGTGTTTCCCATATGTGAGTAACTTGGCTTTTTGAGGTTCTTTGAATTATATAGATCTAAACAATAATTTGATGATATCAACAGTAGCTATTACTAAAATTATAACTTTATAGTATTGTCTTCTAAGAAATTAGAAAAACCCTCCCTTCCTTCTTCCTGCTGCCCCTCTGCCTTCTTGCTCTTGCCTTGTGAAAAAAGTCAGGACTTTTATTCTTTCCGTGTTTCCATCTGGTTATCAACACTTCTACTTACACCGTCTTTTACATTATTTAGCGCTGTTTGCTGTGAAGTGTTTGGGAGGATGCTGTAATGTATGGGATTTTAATTATACTTTTTGAGAAGAATTTTGATTATTGTGTAAGTTCTGTCTGTAAACATCATTGATATCTAAAATTCATCTTTTTCATGGTTTCCTGATTACATTTTTCATAATCAGGTTTTAACAAACAAGAAATTGTTCAGATATATTAACCATACTTCTGATCCTACCACTCAGAAGTTTGAGGTAGGAGATTCACGAGTCTGAACTCATCCTAGACAACATATGAGACCTGCTTCCAAAACAACAAGAAGAAGAAATTTAAGAAAGCCTCCTGTCTCCCCTCTCACTCTCACACACTGTGTTGCTCGGATGAGAGGACTTACAGTACCAAGTCTTTAAGTCTTTTTAGGCAGCACATCCCTGACATTTGGGCTGAGGTCCTTTTTAGTATCAAGACTGTTAGGTGACATATCTGAGACATTTTTGACTAAGGGTTTTTTGTTGCGGATTGTATCAACTGATGTATCCATAACGAGAAATTCAAGTAAATATTAAACAGTTCCCAAATTGTCATTTATAATAGTAATTGAAACATTTAAATAATCAAATTGAACTTTCCTTTTCAGTATAAATGTATGAGAAGATTGTCAGTGCTTAAAGTGTTTTACAAATGTTTTAAATATTCAGTTTAATATAAACCAGCCAGCTTCTCATATATTCTGTTAATCATGATAGCACATGTTCAGGAAAACTTACTGTTAACTAGTTAGAAAACCAGTGTGAAAAGGTAAATAACACCTCACGGCTTCACTGAATAATTTTGATAGTGACTGTTCCTTGAAATGGTCTCACAGAGCAGTGTTGTTTATAGGCCACTGTTGTTTTCAGACCTCATGTTGAAACAGCTTTGGTGAGTTATTTTAAATGGTGGATACCCTTTTGATAGTATATTAGTTACTTTTCTAATTTCAGAGGAAACAGACCAGAAAGTGATATAGCCTGAAAGCCTGACCCCAGAATTCTACATCCCATCTGTGAATCCCATGGTTCCTGCTTCTTTAGGGAGAAACTTCCTAAAGCAGCACCTAGGGACCAATGTTCAAATACACAAGCTCAGTGTATGTATGAAGGACATTTTATATTCAAACAGGACACTATACCAAAGCATGAAAAATGGTAGTTCCTTAAAGATTAGTTGCAATGTAAAGTTAGAGGCTTTCACCCTGAATATGTGTGTTAAAATTCACTTACCCAGGTGTGATTTTTGCATCTCCTGGAAGATACTGTTTTATTGACATGTATGTATTTCAAATATTGACATGTTTCACTATAAAATTGAACAATAATAGTTACCACCAAAATTTTTTCACAATAGTCTTTAAGCATTATAAAATTGTTTAGGTTATCTTAGTAGATATAAATTTTACAAAATTGTAATTACCTCTTGCTTAAATTTTTTTATGGTTTTTGGGTGGGGAGAGTCCTTGATAACACCTTTGTCAGTTTGTCTTGAAATTTCTCTGTGCATTCTCAAGAATGCTTTGTTTGTTATGCTTGTCAAAGGACAGGGGTTAACAGTTTACAAATTTTAGTTTGGCTTTATTTTTTTCCTTTTTGTTTGTTTCTTAACACAGGTCTTATAGTTCATGTTGGCCTCAAAACTCACTGTATATTTGAACTCCAGATTTTCCTGCTTGTAATTCCTTAGTGCTGGAGTTACAGTTGGCATGTAAGTCACCATCCCAGATTAGTGTAGACATTGTTTTAACCCACCTTTAGAGATCAAAACCAGGGCCTTATGAATACTAAGCAAAGTTCAATCCAAGCCCAGTTTTTCTCCCCAGGTATGGTGGCACATGCCTTTGATTCCAGCACTTAGGAGGCAGAGGCAGGTGTTGGAGGCCAGCCTGCATAATGAGTTCCAGGCCAGCCAAGGCTATATGAGAACCTGTCTTGAAAACCAAAACAAACAGAAGATTGCATTAGTGTCTTACTGTAAACAGACTAGAGAAGACTTGTGGTTTTCCTGCCCCGGCTTCGTAGGGTGCCAGTAGTACAGATCTGTAACACTTGTTTCCATAAAATAGAATTAAGTATTTTGGTGGACTAAGCAGAAGAGAGTGGTTTATCTACAGAAAAAGGCACAAACAGAGAAACAAACAGCCCCCCCCCCTCAGAAACAAGGAACATGAAACAGATGGGCATTTCAGAGTTACTTCCCTCATAAGGTAATAGAGGGGAGACAAAACAGTAGATACATCCTGTTTCATAATGCCAAATTATATTACATCATTTTGAGTAAGGATTAAAGCAGAAGGAACTTAAACATCATTCTGATTGAAACTATTCCATTCTAGAAGTTTTCTCCTGGTTTCTTGATGGGTCAGATAAACAAGTGTAATTATTTGGTAACATGAAACTTTATCGTGGGGGAGTTCATTTTTATTCTGTGTTCTGCTAAAGCACTGTTGAACAGTTCAAAGTGGACGTCAGTCTTTCACCGTTAAGTATGGTGCTAGCTTGTAGTTGATTATAGCTTTTACTCGATTTAAACTGCTTATGTTTCAGATTCTGCTGAGAGTTGTGTCAGATGTTTTCTTTGCATCATAAAATGGCCTTTCCCCATTCTGTTATTGTAGTGAGTTACATTGGTGGATTTTTTACTGTTAACCTAACTTGCATTTCTGGGCAAACTCTTCAGTTAAGCTATCTTACTTGCTTTTATATGCATGATACCTAAGTCAGTCTATTAAGATCTCATCAATCCTCACAATTGTTTAGTGAGTAAGAGTGATGTTCCATAAGTGTTTCTCCATTTTGGGTAGAATTGGAAAGCATTGAAAAAAATTGACAGAAAGTACTGTCATGCAATAACAGAGAGTTTTTGATACTTTATTCAGAGACCAGTGCTCTACAACTTTAAGTATTAGAACGTGGTTGGTGAATCAGAAGGAAGTAGAGAAGCCCACTTGTTGTCCTGTCATTAAGGAACTTCAGAGTCTGTTCATTTTATGTCTTGTATAGTTCTGGCAAATATTGATGCTCTAATGTAGTTACACCTTACAGCTGAGAAGGAACAAACTAGAGTGAAATGTTTTCCTAGAGATTGTTAAATTGAGAACATAGAGATTAGCAACTTCCAGTACAGTGGAGAAGAAAATACTATTGTGGGAAGAACTTTAAAAACTGTGTAACTGAGAGCTATTGAAAAGCAGTTCTGGGTCTTGACTATAGCTCTAAACTCTCACTGTGTATGATTTATTTTAGTCAAAACAGGACTTTAGTTGCAGTGAGCGTTAGCAAGTCTTACCACATATGATGAGTGACTGTAGTAGAGTTGCTCGCAGACACGAAGGGTGGTGGCTGTTTCTGGAGATCATGTGCACGTGCACTTGTTTCTGTTCCTGTGCCTGCGCAGTTGTAGTATTCCATCCCTCCATGTCATGTTGTGCTGTTCATCTTGACAGTTGAAACATGCAGCTCTTGCCCAAACTGCTGCTCTTGAGACCCACGTGAGGCTGAGTGACACCCAGCAACAGTGATGAATATTCGGGCAGACTGAGAAGTGGTTGTACTGCCTTCTAGTTCAGTGTTGTCTCTTTTGCACTGACAGTAATTGGCGCTCAGATTTATAGAGTTAACAAGAATTAACCTGTTCCCAAAGGTTTTCATTAAAAAGAATGGAAAAGATTTTGTTTTAATTGTATATGAAAAGACAAAAAAAAACAACACACACACACACACAAAAACAGAATCAAAAACCTTCCCAAATCATTTGAAAGGAAGACAAGTATTTGTGTAAAAGAGCTTCATTTCTTCACATGAAACATTTATATATGCATTATTAAGATAAAGAGGTCACTCAATACATAGATATTTATTGGAAATTTATTATTTTTAAAAATAAAGAATGTCTTTATTTTATATAAATGTCTTTATTTTATATAAACTTTCAGTTTATGTTATTTTATATAACTTTTAAATGAATTATTAGTGTGTTAAAACACAAAATATCAGTATTTCATAGTTTAGCTCAGAGAACTCAGCTGCTGTTGAGAGTAGCAGTGCTACAATCAGGATGTGAGTCTGGGCTGTGGACTGTGTTCTCCATTGAAGCAGAACATCCTTGTCTCCTCACTGGTCCCCAGACCCTCCCCTACACCCGCACCCCTGCCCCCTAACTTTAATTTCTAATGAGTATAGGGATGAGGCCTTCAGTTCTTAGAGGCTTTCCACCTGGGACGTGGATCTCTTCATAACATGGGGCTTGTTTCTTTAAGGCTACCTGGACAAACTCTTGCTCCTTTTGATTTCTTGAGCTGCTTTTTAAAGATGGTAAGGTTAGAGAAGATACTTGTGTTGATCTTAGCAGGATGCCAAGCATGGAGTTCTTAAAGACAGCAGTGACTACCTTGTTCAATAAAAGTAGGATCTTTCCTATAGTCTATAAAAAAATAAGGCTAAAGCTCAGAAGATGAAGTTGTAGAGAGATAGTAAAATACTCTTTATATGATGCTCAGTGACACAGTTTCAGTACAGGTGCAACTGGCCTACCATGTGAGCATCAAGGAGTGGGTTTAGAGAAAGAGGTTTAATCAGAAATGTTTAGTTATTCCTAGAAAAATAAATTTACTGTTAAAGTGCTCAAAAGTAGAAAAATTAAAACATTGTTTATTGATTTTCTGGGGAAAAGGCTTAGTACTTAAAATGATGAAATTATTAAATAGCTTTTTCTTTTCTCCTAGATGGTATACCTCAAGTTTACTATTTTGGCCCTTGTGGTAAATACAATGCTATGGTGCTGGAACTGCTGGGACCTAGTTTGGAAGATTTGTTTGACCTCTGCGATAGAACGTTTTCTCTAAAAACAGTTCTCATGATAGCGATACAGCTGGTAAGTGCAGCAGAGTACTGGACGTTGCATGGACAACTGCTTAGTTGTTTGATTACAGGTTCCCTCCATCAGACTCTTCTCTCTTCCCTCCTTCAATCTCCCCTCTTCCTTCTCTCTCTTGCTCCATTCCTCAGTGTTTCTCTCTCCCCCTCCCCCTCCCCCTCCCCCTCTCCGTCTCTGTGTCTCTCCCCTCCCCCCCCCAATCTCATGTAACCATGGTTGGTCTCTAACTCCCTAACTAACCTGGTCTTAAACTACTGCTCTTCTTGCCTCTGCCTTCTGCCTCCTGGTATTACAGATGTCGAAATCTGTAATATTTGTTAAAGTTTTCATACATTTAAGTTAAAAGTTCCATTAAAGATTTTTTGACTTTTGCATGTTGACCCATGTGATAGAAATTATTTTTTCTTTTTACAGTATCTTTCTAGTCTGCATAGAATGTAAAATTAATATTTTAATTGCTTTCATTTCAAAGTTAAGGTTTTTCTAATAATCTTTCCTTGTATAGATGAAAACTTTGAAACCTCAGAAACAGAGTTCTTAATTTTGGAAGTTGACATTAATGACCTAATAAAAGAAGAGACAAGCGGATGAGGAATATACTTCAGTATTTAAATTTCAGGGAACCTATCAGAAAACAGTTGAGAAAACTTTTAGACAGTTTGATGTAAATGCAAATATAAGTATACTTCAGAATTGTTTTTATTCCCTTCATTATTAATTCTACTTCTACAGATTTATATTGGAAATACTTAGATTACTTATAATCTTATATACGGCAATAGATAAAATTGTAAAATAATGAGAAATCCCCTATGGTGTAGAACTGACAGGGCGAATTGGATAAATTATGAATAGTTATAAAGTAACATACAGTTATTAAAAACTACATTAAAATTTTTTGTGACTTTGAAAATGCTATAAGATATTATTAAGGCATGGGTCATGGGAATGTGAGCCACAATTTGTTAATAAACAGACTAGAATGGCCCATGTACTGTATGCTGACACGGTATTATTAACCAGGACTCTCACAAATGGGATAGTTACCTTATATCTAATGTTCTGTTTAGCTATTTTGAATGGTAAACATTATTTGAGAATCTGAAAAATGGTTAATATAATTGTACTTTGTTATTATAGTGGGAATTCAAAAGTTTCCATTTTCAAGTTTTTAAAGTGTTTAATACTGTGGGAGGAATCCATTTTGAAAAAATACTAAATCATGTTAACTTTTTTGATGCTAATTTTTAAGGTAAAATTACATTCTTGAGTTCTTTTTATTATAAAATTTGCCTGATTGTTGAACTGAAGAAGAATAACCTTAACTTTGTGAGTGTGTCTTTAGTTTTGAGTTTGATATTTATTCTTAGGCCTTAAAGTTTTTTAACTTTGTAATCTAGCATCCTCTGAAAATGGTGATTGAGTTTGACTTACTGATAGAAAATGCATTCCTAAAATTCAGACACTTTCATTTATCTGTGACAGTAACAGCAGAGACTAAAGTCCTAAGTGGGTATATGTTTGTTGAGGAACTAAAGACTCACACCATGTTAACTCTAAAGGTTTGAAACAGTTTCTAATTGTTTTCTTTATTATGTTATATTTATTGTGTAAGTCCTGTCTTGGTTTTATCATGATTTTGTTTGTTAGTGAAAATCTAAAATAAAAATTATTTCCTCTTTTCCCACTAAGATTTCTCGTATGGAGTATGTCCACTCAAAGAACTTGATATACAGAGATGTGAAACCTGAGAACTTCCTGATAGGACGGCCGGGAAACAAAGCCCAGCAAGTCATTCATATCATAGATTTTGGGTTGGCAAAGGAATATATTGATCCAGAGACAAAGAAACATATACCATACCGAGAACACAAAAGCCTTACCGGAACAGCCAGATACATGAGCATAAACACACATCTAGGGAAAGGTATGTGAACATGCTGTAAGTGTGGGAGCCGGGTCTGTAGCCGAGGCCACGGGGTGAGTCAGTGTTTGCAGATGAAAATAGCATGCATTGTGATTCTCATTCACCAGACACCTACGGCTTTCTTTCACTTTTAGTTTGATAATACTGTGAAAACTAGGTCTGGGGCAGGGGAAATGTTTTCTGGAATAACTTGGAATGTCCAACCTTTGATACAATTAAGGGATCCATTTAAGTAGTTCTATTAAATAATACCAGGCAGTGCCCAATTTTAACTGAATTTAGTGCATGTGAATATTTTTACTGAGATTGTAAAGGCAGGCAGACCTGGCTTCTAGTATTTTTTCCTACCAGTATGACTTTGGACAAGTTATTAATTTTAAAAATGTATTTTCTATGTATATAAAGAATAAAATAATAACTATAGAGTATTATGTCATTTTTTTTTGATTCAGGATCTGATTGGAACAGTGTTTATTTATTGGATAGTTTAACTAGTCTCTCTCTTTTTAAAACCAGGAATACTACTTCTCTTTTAGTATATGTTTCTTAATCTTAATTTTTAGGAGCAAAGGTAATTTTTAAAAATATTCTCAGTTTGGGTCATTTTTTATGATTAGATATTGGTATGCATGTTTAATGCACATTTATGAAAAAGCAAAGAATTCTTGTGTTCTTGTATTCTGTCAGGGGTCAGTTCATATTTCCAGTTGGATCTATTCACTTAATTAGATGATATCTGTTGAGTTTCTCCAGGAAAGTGAATATTCCCTTGGTAACTAAAAAGTATGTTGTAGGTAGATATTTGAAATTATGCAAGCATGTTATTCTTTTTTTTTTGGAGATAAGGTGTAGTTTCATAGCTTAGACTATCCTCAAGGTGGAAGTTTTCTTTGTTTGGCCTCTTACGTTCTAGGATTGCAGGCATATGTCAACAGGAGAGGTTCTTTAATAAATTTTTACCTAGTAGATTTATTGTGTATTGATTTTTCTCTGTCCATTGTTCCTTACATATTTATTAGCTGATAAGCTGACATCACAAACTTTATTTTTACCCAATTATTGACTTTTTCTGTGGAGACTATGGCTCTTAAGTTTTGAATTATTTGATAAGTACATTGCTACCATTGTTTATTTTGATGCCCAGAGGGTCTCACATTTGACCACTGGTTCCTCATTCAGGGTCTCCTGACAACATTCAGAGCATTCATTCAGCACTTTCTGGGTTTGTAGTTTCTCTATTCCAAGCGTATAGCCAATCATGCTGATAAGATGTCCTGGGTCTCTTTATCTGATAATGGTAGTTTTAAAGACCAGGCCAATGAGTATCTTCTTGCTATGCTTTGGTATTACCACTAGGATCTGGGAAATGTATAAATATATGTATACATATACACAGAGAAAAATAGCCTATATAGCATACAAATGTATACATGTACTATTTATTACATTCCTAGAAAAGGTTCAAGGTTATTCTGGTACTTCTGAGCTTTGGGTCTGTTTATACAAAGTAGTACACACCTGTCTATATTTGTTTCCTTTTTGATTTTCTTTTGCTTCCCTTGAGAAGTCTGCCCATCACTACTTATTTATTCAGTGCTTGAAAGCCAGGCTACTCGGAAAATAGCTTCAGAATTGCTAAATGACACTTTGGTGCAGCAAGCTTTCTACACACAGTAATTATTTTTCAGAGTTCTTTAAAAAACTGAATCAAAAATTATGTTGATAAGGCAAAATATTTAGGTATATAGTGTATCAGCAAATATTTACACCGCATAACCTGCAGGTCTGTTTTATTTCTCCTAGAAGCCTGGTGATTTTGGTTTCTTATGTCTGTGACTTATCTAGAATTAATTTTTGTCTTTTGGTATGTGGTGAGATCATGGTTGAGGTTTTATTCTTGGTAGATTTGTTCACACTGAGTTGTTTGTTTTTCTCTTGAAAATTGTATTTGCAGTAAGTTTTTCTGAAACCATTGTGTGTATGGAAGCGCAGACTTGGTTTTCTGCTTTTAAATTCTATTCCTATTGTCTTAATCAGAAGGATTAGCCAGGAATGTACAGCAATCTAATATTGGTCATCATTGCTTAAGGTATACAATAAGGTGTGGGCAGGAGCACACAAACTGTCTAATCCAACTTCCAGCTTTCCTCAGACTTGCTTATTACACACTGTGTGTTTCTGCTCTACTCCTCAGTTCTGAATTCATTAGCCTTTGGCATGTTGCTGACAGCCTGGCTGATGCATGGTGCACATCTGAAATGTGTGAACAAAATGTGAGATGCCTTTAAGTACAGTTTGAGACATAAAATGATAAAAGACAACTTTTATTCACATAGTATTTTTGGTAAATCCTTTCAATAGCAAACTATCCTGACAGATTTAAAACACAATTGGGTAGCCTCTTTTAAAACCAGTCACACCCGTATTTGCATGTGCATTGTCTGTGAGTAATTTTCCTTTCATGGGAGTTGTTACAGACTTTCAAAATAACTAACAACGCCTCACAACTATTTTATTTTAAGACATGAGGTCACAACTTCCCTATAGGCTAATGTTTTTTTTTGTGTGTGTGTGTGAACAATGGTATATGTAGCAGCTTTCTATTTGTAGAACAGGCAAAGTGAGTTTTTAATCATTGTTGAGACAGCCCTTCAGAGGTTGGGGACGTGCCATTTAACTGTCGTAGGAATCTAAAAACAACAAAAGCTATAAAGATGTAGTTTTCAAAGCTCCACATAGTCTAATGTAGATGGGTAACATTGACAGAGGAGGTGTTTGCCAGATAACGTGATTCCTAATGTGAACTAATGAGAATTCAGTGGTGTAAGTACGTTCTATACGTTCTGTGAGTTGGTGATGTTTGTGAGGTGGGTATCTCATATTTGTTGGATTTGAAATATGAGATTTGGCGAAGAGGAAGGAACCAAGAAAGAAAGAGAGAAGGGAGGGGAAGAAGGAAGGAAGGAAGGAAGGAGAGGGGAGGGAGGGAGGGAGGGAGGGAGGGAGGGAGGGGGGAGGGAGGGAGGGAGAAAGGGAGAAAGATCTAACAGAGAAAACCTGATTTTTACTTTATATGTGTCTGACTGAAGCCTTCACAGCTTTACCTAATTCTTAACAATCCCCCTTCCTTCCTTATCCGGTCTCCTTTCCTTCCTTTCCATCCTGTTCTTTCCTTCCTCCCTTCCATCTTTCTTTCTTTTTCTTTTCTTTGTTTTTCAAACGCTGGAGGGTCAAACTTAGGGCCTTCAATCTGCTAGGCAAGCATTCAACTGGTGAACTACATACCCAGACCTTTGGTGATTACTTTTGAGGCATCAGGTTTAGTCAGGATTTAGTCAGAAAGAGATGTTTTCCGTATATTATAGATGAATAGCATAAAAATCGCTTTGCATAGTCTTTCGTTTTTAGTCTCATAATATGTGTTGATCTTAATAAGGCATAAGGTCATTTATGTTCAGAAGACAAGTGCAGTGGTGTGCTTTCTTATCTCCTTGCTTACGTCACTGTCCAGAGTGGCATCTTCAGAAAGCTGTGTGTGACAGATAGGGATTTCCATTGTCCACTTAATGAAACCTCCACCTGCTGCTGCTTCATTGTATTTATGTCAGCTCTAATTAGAGGTCTACTTTTGAATAGTTTTTAAAAAACAGTTGTCAGTGGCTTTGAGGCTCATTTTTTAATTCTCTGATCACTTTTCTGCCTTCTTTAAAATCTAACTGAAGTATTCATGTTCTCTCTCTCTCTCCCCCCCTTCCCTCCTTCTTTCCTCCCCCTACCGCCCTTCCCCCCACAAATAAGCTTAGAGAGAATACAGTTTATTTTTAATTTTTATAGGTTTTTATTTTTGTCTATCAATTTTGTCCTACTTTTGCCATCTTATATGTATGTAGTTCCTTGCTGCAGCACATGGCTTTTCCATTATTTTGACTTTTTTCTATTACCTTAGAAGCCAGACTTACTGGATTATATCTAAATTGAGAAATTTTAAGAGAAATTGAATTGAATTGAGTGACTATACACTGGATTCTTTCTCAGAAAGAAATCTCCATGTTCTTTTTTGATAGTGTTGGGTTTAGATGAGGGCCGTGGGAGTGGTTACTGCACATTGTGCTCATAATTGTTTGTTTGTTTGTTTGTTTGTTTGTTTTATGTTGAGGTGGGCCTTTCTGTCTACCAGTGTTGCCTGGAACCCAGCTTCCCACCCAGGGTGATTTAGAACTCAGTTGTATTTATCAGACTGGGCCTGAATTAACCATTCTCCTGCCTTAGACTTCTGAATGCTGGGATTACAGGCATGTAATCTCATGCCCTGTCCTTGTATTGCCATTGCAAAAATACCAGATCTCATTTTTATCATGTAATTTGAAAAAGTGTAAGCTCAGTGAATGTTGTGGTAAATGTATTTCTGGGTATTGTGGGTTTGAGAAAACTACTAAAACATTTTATAAGGAAATATTAAATAAAACAATCTGAAACAGATTTACTTTTATTTTTAAATTATGTATATGCATGTGTGTTTGTATAGGATTACCTACATACAAGGAAGTTGATTGTGGGCCAGATGAGGGTCTTGAAGCTGAAATTACAGGCGGCTCTAAGTTGCCCAAAGTGGTGGTAGGAATTGAACTCAGGTCCTGTAGGAGAACAGCAAGCTCTCTTAACCATTGATCTATCTCTTCAGCCCCTATATAACCTTTATTTATATGTAGTAGAGTTTTTATGTTTTTTTTTATTTACAAAGAATAATTTATATTCTCTTGAGGAGTTTTTATTCTTTGAGTTCTCTTCCAGTTAGCACTTTAGCCTTTGTTGTTTTTTAGTAGAAAATGCAGTAATAAGTTTATGTTTGATAATATATACATACACAATAGATTCCTACTTTCAAATGAGGTCTTTGGCATATTCTGTGTTGAAAGAGATAAATTTGAGTTGATGAAAAAGTCTTTCTAGTCAAAATTAAATTTTAATTGATATAGACAATTACAGATAATTGAATAATA